GGGGGGGGGGGCACGGGGCGTCCCTGCAGCTCACCGAGTCGGAGCCCCCTTCCGCCGGGGAGCTCTGGAAGTCCGCGTAGGTATCTTGGGGGCCGTCGGGCAGCCCCTCCTCGCACTCGGTCAGGTAGTCAGACTCGTCTAGGCAGAGGGGGGGCACGTTGGTCCCCTCCAGAGGGCGGGGCCCCGCCCACAGCCAGCCAGGTCCAGGCCGCTGGTGGAGCATGTCAGGGGTGTGGAGGGGACGCTGCCACCAGCACCCTCAGCTGTGTGGGCGCAGGTCCTGGGTGTTCCACTCACCATCCACCACGGCCGCCTTGGCGGGCTCAATGCGCGACACAATCTCCGCGAGGTCGGTGAAGGAGGCGTTGGGGCAGGTGAGGACCTGCAGGGCCAACGGGGAGGACACGTCCAGGCAACGGCACTGCTCCCCGGGCCCCCTGACCACAGCCCTGACTGCCCAGCCCGGCCGCAGCCCCAGCCCCTCTGTGGCCTTAGCTCGCTGAGGATGGGCAGGGGCCTGAAAGGCGGGCAGAGTCCTGGGCAGACCCCAACCCAGACCACCATCCTCTCTGGAGGGGACCTGGGGCAGAGGCTAGGAGTCCCCAGGGCCACTGCCTGTCTTCTGGCCCATGGCAGGTGCTGCTGGCTGGGCACCCACCTGGGGTGGTTGGGGGAGGGGAGGACGGGTCACAGGAGGACCGGAGGGGGAGGGGGAAGGGGCCCGGGGCACTCACATCGAAGGCCTTCATCTTGCTCGTGCCCTGCCGGTCCTGCAGCATCTTCTCCAGCACACCACTGCGACTCCAGATGCCAAACACCGTCCGCCCGTGCTGGTAGCCCACCTCCTGCACACAGCGGGGACAGGGGCTGGGTGCTGGGCCCCACCTCCTGTTCTCAGAAGGGCAGGGGGCCAGGGAAGAGGCAGCCAGACACTGGAGCCCACTGACCACTGCCCCCTGCCCCCCCACACTCACACAGATCTCTGTGAACTTGCCGAAGTCCAGGGTGCCATAGCTGTCGATGGGCGGGCGCAGGTACTCGCAGTAGTCGCTGTTCCTAACCTCCTCCAGCTGGCGCACGCAGCACACATAGGCCAGGCGTGTCTGGATCTCCGCCATGTTCAGCACCTGCCATCACCAGGGCCTCCTGGGTCTCACACCCTGGTACCTTCCTGTCCTGCCCACCCCCAGGGGAGACGTAGCTCTGCCAGGCTGGTCCCTTTTCCCAGAGCTGGTCCTGGCTGAGCAGGGATAGTGATGGACCCAGGACCAGGAGGTGCAGAGAGGCTGAGAGAAGCTGCAGAGTGGCCAGTCCTGCCCCACCCAGGGCTGTGCCCCACCTTGACTTTCGTGGCCAAGGGGTTCCAGCGCTTCCACAGCAGCCACCACCCAGACAGAGAGTCGCCATAGTTGGTGAGGTCCGTCTCGTCCTGGCTGCCCACGTCAATGGCGATCACCACCTTTGCCCCCATCGATCTGGCCACATCCGCTGGGGGGGAGACCCTGGTCACCACCCGGGACAGGTACAGGGAGCCCCAGGTAGGGCAGAGCCTGTCTGACAAGCCCTGAGGCCAGTTGAGTGCACAGAACCGTCCAACAGGTGACAGGTGTGCCCGAGGGAGGGGCCTACCCTCACAGCACGCCCGACACCTGCGGGCTGTTAGTTCCAACTGCGGGCACAGACGGGAGGTAACTGCTCCCAGCCTCTCCCTGGCCCTTGTGCTGAGCACCGCTGAGCTGACAAATGAAGCCATATGCTGGACTCACGGTGCCCGAGCACCTGCGTGTGCGTGTCCCCTGCTCCGAGCCAGCCTCTGATTTCCCTTGGCACACGCTGAAGGGAGCGTGCACCAGACCTCCAGGAGCGGGCGCGGAGCTGCAGTACCTGGGAGGTTGTTGATGTAGCCCCCATCCATCAGCAGGTGTCCGTCCTTGGGGTCGCAGAGGGGGGGCATGTAGCCCGACAGGGACATGCTGGCACGCACGTACCTCCACAGGGAGCCTGGGGGGATCCAGAGGGGTGGGGAGGCCGACTGACATGCACAGGGAAAGGAGAGGAGCCTTTCCTGCCACCGTGTCCGCCCTGCACCCTCGGCTCACAGCCTGGCCTGCGAGGGGTCCTGAGGCCAGCATGTCCACCTCTGGTGAGGGCACTAGGCCTGGACACACTTCCCGGACATCATCCTCCCCGAGGCCTGAAGAGCCAGGCATACTCTGGGGTGTCCCCACTTCCAAACTGCCAAAGCCTCCGGCCAGCCCCGCCCTTCCCCACACCTCCGGACAGGTTCAAGCGGCTCCAAAAATGCTGCCCTGGAAGGGGCCTCTGTGCCACCCACGATCAGCTTTCTCCTCACGTCCTCACCCAGTTTCACCAAGCGCATCTAACAGGCCGACATCCACACCCCACAACCGACGTGTGCCCTCCGTCTGCACCCCGCGACCTGAGTGTGCCCTTCACTGTCCCTCCCCACTCGGGTCACACGTCGTCTCCACTCCGAGTCTTTCTGGCCTTCAGGGGGTCTCTGGGCTCCTGGCAATTCCCCGGCACGCCATCCTCCATGTGCGTGGCAAAGCCACTATGTCAGACTCCCTCAGGGGACCTTGGGGCTTCCTCGGCTCAGGGAGCAGCCAGGCTCTCCTCTGGCCTGCGTGGGGCCATGCGGCGGGAGCCCCCCGGCAGGAGGCCAGTGCTCACCGTCGGTGTGGACCCGCATGGCGGAGGCAGAGATGTCCGTGGTGATGGTGAAGTAGGGGATCCATAGGTCCTGCATGGGGAACAGGGCTCAGCGGGGCACCCTCCCTGCCACCAAGGGGTAAGGGAGGGGACACGGAAGGTGCTGTGTGTGCAGACAGGCCAGGCCGGGGTTCCCCAGGGTGGCCAGTTGGGGCACCTCGATCTGCCGGTCCTTGAAGACGCTGCAGACGCTGCTGTTGAATCCGGCCCCCGAGAACATGGAGGTGATGGGATAGGTCAGGTCCAGCATGGTCTTCATCATCGACGTCATGTCCTGAGTGGGGGGACAGTGAGGCCCGTGAGGGGGAGACGCCCCCACCTGGGGCACAGGCAGCAAGCAGGTGGCCCTCAGGGACCCAGCAGGAGCCTGCGTCTGGAGGAGGGGCAGGGACAGGGCACCAGCACGTCCTCCCCCCAGAACAAAGGTGTGGAGGAAGCACCCTCGAGGATGGGGGTCCCTGGGGGGGACCGCTGTGGTCGGACAGCCGCCTGGAGGTCCTGAGGGGATACCGCTGACCCCCGATCCACAGCGGGGGAGACGCAGCAGGTGAGCGGTGAGAACTCCCGACTCGGCCCTGAGGCCTCTGAGACTAAGGAGGCCCACGGAGGTCTCCCTGGGAGGGAGCGGCTTCCGGTCATGCCCAGGTTGGCCCTCACGCTCGGCCGTGGCCGGTGACCCTCCCGCGCCGCAGCCCCCCCGCTCCGGCCGGTTAGTCCTGGACTTGCCGGCCGCCTCCATTCACCACAGGCCCGGTGCGGACGCCAGTGCTTCCTGTGTCCCTCATGCTCTGGCATTTGGGTCTCACAGACCCGGGAGAGACTGCACCCCAAGGTGCCCTGGGGTGTCTATTAGCAAACTCACCAATGCAGAGCCCCTCCTGCACCCCATTTATCAAAATCTCACACAAGCCAACATTCCCCTGCCCAACTCGCCCCAGGGCCAGGGACCATGCCACTGGGCACAGCCCCCATGTCCCCAGCCCACCGGCATCATTCAGAGGAACTGATCTTAAGCCATGGACCCTGCCTTTCCCGCAGAAACCCCAATACGGGCTCTGGCCTGGGGCTCCCCGGTGGCCCCATGGGGTGGCCATGCCTTTTTCCAGTGGAACTGCCACTAACACTGAACTTTTCCTTTCACTGGCGCTGACCTCTCCGTGTTGTGCTCAGTCACCTTTACACATTGAGACCCGGCACCAACAGAGCCAACCCCTCAACACTGGCGTGGTCACGCCCCAGGTGCTCCCCTCTGCCCCACAGCCACACTCTGCGCCCGGAGCCCTGCAGAACTGCATGCGGGGCCTGTGGTCCCAGTGCCCTCCTGCCCCACAGCTCCACAGGGACTGGCCCTGTGCTCACCTCAGCCCACTGCTTGGCCCGGATCCGAATCTGGCTGTAGCTCCTCTCCTCAGCGTACAGGGCACCCATGAAGGCCCCGATGGACGTCCCCCCTACCATGTCCACGGGGATGCCGCACTCTGTCAGGGCTCGGATGATGCCGACCTGGGCGCAGCCTCTGTGCCAACCAGGAGCAGAAGCAGCAGTCAGTGCCTCCACCGGGACCTGCACTCAGTGCCCGGCTGAGGGCCCTGGGACAACTGTGAGTCCCACTCACTCCTGCTTGATGCCCGTCTCTTGCCCAAGTGGCAGGAAATGGGGCAGAGACCCAACTCAGAGGGACTGCAGACGTCATTTAGTGCCTCTCTGGTGTCCTGAGGGGAAGCCAGCAGTTGGCCTCTTCCACCCACCAGCGTCCAAGAGGCTGTGCCATTAAACAGGCTTTGGATGGACTCAGGATGGGTGGGGACACAATTCCAGGCCCATTTGGAAAGGGGGTCCTGGTAAACACCCCAGGGGTCGGCATAAGTGGGGCACAGACGAGCCCCGCAGGGACGGGAAAGCGGGCATTGGACTGAAGTGGTTACTCTGCGCCTCAAACCACTGTTAGCATTTCTCACATGATGTCCGGCACTAACAAAAGTGACCAGCAGAGGAGACCACGTGACCGCAGCCCAGAGAAGAAATAAACAGTGGAGGTGGGTCCAGAGGAAGCAGGTAACAGAGACGCTGACACAGGCTAGGACACGGCTGCTTAAAAAGCCAAGGAGCTGCCGGGCCAGCATGGCTCAGCGGTTGAGCATCGACCAATGATCCAGGAGATGGCACTTTGATTCCCGGTCAGGGCACAGGCCCGGGTTGTGGGCTCGATCCCCAGTCAGGGGCGTGCAGGAGGCAGCTGATCAATGACTCTCATTAATGCTTCAACTCTCTCCCTCTCCCTTCCTCTCTCTGAAATCAAGAAAAATGTATTTTTTAAAAAGCCAAGGAACCAAAAGGTGGCCGCAGCCCAAGTCCTCCTTGACGGAAGAGTGACAAAGTGCGGAGCGTACATGCGAGAGAATGTCTTTCAGCCTCAAACAGGAAACGGGAGGGAGATCCCGACACAGGCTACAAGGGGGTNGCCCAAGTCCTCCTTGACGGAAGAGTGACAAAGTGCGGAGTGTACATGCGAGAGAATGTCTTTCAGCCTCAAACAGGAAACGGGAGGGAGATCCCAACACAGGCTACAAGGGGGTGGGCCTTGAAGACACGATGCTGAGCGAAAGAAGCCGGTCACAGGACAAACGCTGTGTGACCCACTCCTAGGAGGGCCCTGGAGGCGTCGGGTCCACAGAGACAGGAAGTGGACGGTGGGTGCCAGGGCTGGGGAGGGGTGGGAGTGAGTGTTCCATGGGGACAGAGTGTCAGTCTGGGAAGAGCAAGTCCTGGAGATGGTGGGGGGGGGGGCAGCATAACAGTGTGAACGTGCCCAATGCCAGTGAGTTGCAGATGCAGACAGATGAGAGGTGATGGGTGACGGCTGACAGGTGATGGGTGGTAGGTGATGGGTGACGGATGGTGGGTGATGGATGATGGGTGACAGGTGATGGATGAGGGGTGACGGGTGACGGATGGTGGGTGACGGGTGACGGATGGTGGGTGATGGGTGACAGGTGATGGATGAGGGGTGACAGATGGTGGGTGACAGATGGTGGGTGACGGATGGTGGGTGACGGATGGTGGGTGATGGATGGTGGGTGATGGGTGACGGATGGTGGGTGACGGGTGACGGATGGTGGGTGACGGGTGACGGATGGTGGGTGATGGGTGACAGGTGATGGATGAGGGGTGACAGATGGTGGGTGACGGATGGTGGGTGACGGGTGACAGGTGATGGATGAGGGGTGACAGATGGTGGGTGACGGATGATGGGTGACAGGTGATGGATGGTGGGTGACGGATGGTGGGTGATGGGTGACAGGTGATGGATGAGGGGTGACAGATGGTGGGTGACGGATGGTGGGTGATGGATGATGGGTGACAGGTGATGGATGAGGGGTGACAGATGGTGGGTGATGGGTGACAGGTGATGGATGAGGGGTGACAGATGGTGGGTGATGGATGATGGGTGACAGGTGATGGATGGTGGGTGGCAGATGGTGGGTGAGGGGTGATGGATGGTGGGTGATGGATGACGGGTGACAGGTGATGGATGGTGGGTGACAGATGGTGGGTGATGGGTGATGGATGTTGGGTGATGGATGTTGAGTGACAGATGGTGGGTGACGGGTAATGGATGGTGGGTGAGGGGTGATGGGTGACAGATGCACAGACTGTGGGAGGGAGAGGTGAGGAACTCAGCCTCGAGGACACAACCATTCTAGAATAGGAAAGCGATTTAGAAACAGATGAGCAGATGGCTGGAGAGCAGCTGCAAGGGGGTGTCTCTGGGACACTGCTGGGTGGGTGGGGGCAGGATGGGCAGGAGAGGCTGTTTTGTGCGGCATAAATACCACAGGGCCTCAGAAAATGGCCATATGGCTGTTAAACTAAGTATTGACTAAAACTAAATTTTCATTAAAAACGCTGCTGATGGAGCCATGTGATGGGCCAACCAGGTCCAAGCCCGTGCCAGCTGCTCCGTCCCGGCGCCCGCTGCCCACGACCTGGGCGGCCCGGCCTCGGGGGACACGCGGCCCGGGTGAC